AAAACAAAAAAAAAAAAAAAAAAAAAAGAAAAAGAAAATGGGTGAGGTCAAAATGGGCTCTGGAGACTGTTAGTTTTCGTCAGACCAGATGTCTTGATACAGTAGCAGAACTTTCCCCAGGAATCTGTAGGTATCTGTAAGACAGCTGGAATAGATTTACATCATAGCAAAAGGGTTAAAAATCCATAGAAATTTAAGGACTCTTAAGAACTGTTTGTAGTCAATGCTGTATCAGTTTATCAAAACTGCATTTATCAATATTAAAACTTTGAACCTCCAGCGTTATATCTGAAACTAAACCTGTACCATGAAGTCTGTAAATGAGGCATGCCTGTTTGTATTTTTAACAGGAAACTTATTAACAAGCTGTCAATGTGCTTTGGTCTTGGGATTGGGGCTGTTAAACTGGTACCCTAGTCATCAAACACCATCAGATCTGAGAAGGATAAATTTTAGAATTAGTGAGACAGCTTTCTAGCTACCTAGGCAGCAATCCCAAGTCTCTCTGTGGTCGTTGGGGGACAGAAGCCCCAAAGGCAGCAGTTGTTCAGCTGATAGGCCCAGAAGATCTGACAGATGGTTTTCTGTGAAGTAGAAATTTGGGGAGGTCATCTTACCTGTCTTGGCAGAGAGGACAATTGACTCCTGTTGCTCCTCTTATTCACAATCTGGACAGGATCTCAGCTTTTCACTGCATGGCTGGCCTTGCCATGAGCTTCCAGGTGGAAGTTCTTCTGCGGCCATCCATCTTCTTGGAGGAGACACAGGATGCTGCCAGGAGCTGACATGTCTCTTCATCATAAAAAGCTTTTATATGAAATACCATATTCTTAGATCTCTACAGGTATTTGAGGACTGGGGGAACAAAATCTGTTAGATGTGAATATACAGACTTCCCAGTTAGTTACAGATTAATGATGTTAGCAAGGACAAGGAGATTTACATTCTTAAGCCTGAATAGACCTTGAGTAAGGAGGTGTAGTCGGAAGTTTTCCTGGTCCGCCCACCTCCCACACTCCCCCCACCCCCATAGCTGCTTGGACCCAAATAAACACACAGAGGCTTATATTATTTTTAAACTATGACCATGACAGGCTTTTTGCTAGCTAGCTCTTAAATCTTAAATTAACCCATTTCTATAAATCTATACTTTGCCACATGGCTTGTGGCTTACTGGTACTTTACATCTTGCTTCTGGCAGCGGCTAGCAGCATCTCCCTGCTCTGTCTTTGTCCTTCCTCTCTCTCTAGTTGGAATGTCCCACCTAGCCTTATTCTACCTCACCATTGGCCAAACAGCTTTATTTATCAACCAATCAAAGCAACACATATTCACAGCATACAAAACGACATTACTCATCAAGGAGAGATCTTTTTTAAGCTGTTGGCAGTGATATCTGAATTTGTTACCATTTTTAAGGCCTTGCAGTTGTAGTCCTGATCTTTATTATTTTTATTATATTTATTATAATCCTGAATGATTTATATAGAAATAATAATTTCTCAAGGTTATATAATACCTCATTTGTTCTGCATAAAGAAGGTAAAGTATCTTATCTTATTGCAATATTGAGTCCAGTTTCCTGGTATATCAATGGGCATTTGGTAGCCAATTGGTCCCCTATGCCCTGCCTTCTAACCTGTCTTGGGAACAGGAAACACAGGATGATGCACTCTCCTCCATAACTGCTTCAGGCTGAAACGGAGTGCAGATGGTCAGAGCCCTGGAAGGCAGGCAATGGGGAATTTATAAGAAGTATGTGGTCATCTGACCTGGCTGTAGAGACAGGAAGCAATTACATTCGGCTGAACTGGTCCACATCACATAGACAAGAGTCTCTGCTGGCATCTGTAGCTGGGAAACCTGGCGGCTGCTTCAGTGTGTCTGCCAGCCTACTGAAATATAAACTAGAGAAAAAAGTTAAAATTTATGAGTTTATTTGGAACCTTTAGGCCCATGGTCTTAGTAATTGGAGACCAGGAAAGAGAAAAATGCCACCCTCAGGAATAGATAGGTGAGGAAAACTCACTTATCGGGGGTTCTTTTGACCTTTGTAAAGTGGATTCAATAGCTTCTTTTGATCTTCTGAGGTTAATATGAATTCTTATTTTATAAAAGAACATAAAAGTTTGATATAAGGCTGGAGAGATGGCTCAAAGGTTAAGAGCACTGGCTGTTCTTCCAGAGGTCCTGAGTTCAATTCCCAATACCCACATGGTGGCTCTCAACCATCTGTAATGAGATCTGGCTCCCTCTTCTGGCCTGCAGGAATACATGCAAACAGAACACTATACATAATAAATAAATAAATCTTTTTTAAAAAAGTTTGATATATTAGTATTATCAGTCAGTATTGAAATCCAAATTATAGAAAAGCAGTTGATGGATAGGTAACCGAGGAAAACTTAGTATCCTGAGCTTGTGACCCAAACAGTATCAGAATTGTATTAATGTTAAAATCTGAAATTTTAAAATCTTAAACAATATCTATAACAATATCACTTGCATGTGGTTTTGCTGATGTCCTAGAGGGGACTGCATACGCCTCTGAGCTCTGCCCATATGAATGGCCACAGAGAAATAAACGCCAAGCCACAATTGGACCTCTGCCCCACCCAGATGGCTAGAGTGCCGGGCACCCTGCCCATGCTGGAGCCACTGACAGGAAGTGACTTTTTGCTGCCCTTAATAAAGATGGCAGTGAAGTCATATGACCTGTCTGTCTTTGACCTTAGCAAAGATGGCACCTGACCAGGTATTCACATGGATTTTTTGTTTTGTTTTGTTTTTTGTTTTAGACAAACTGAACAGATAAGGAACAGATAAATTGAAGCATTTAAAGTTAGTCAGATGGGCTGGAGAGATGGCTGGCTCAGTGGTTTAAAGCACTGGCTGCTCTTCCAGAGGTCCTGAGTTCAATTCCCAGCACCCACATGCTGGCTCACAACCATCTGTAATGAGATCTGGCGCCCTCTTCTGGCCTGCAGGCAGAATACTTACGTAATAAATAAATTTAAAAAAAAAAAAAAAAGTCAGAAACAAGTGTATGTGGTCACCTCCTGAGCCTCAGTAGCTGCTGCAAAGGGAATAATGCCAGCTGCCAGGGGTGGGAGGGGCTTGTCTCCAAGAGGCTCACCCCTGCAGTTAGTGTGGAAACAGGGAACAGGCAGAGACAGAACAGCATGAGACAAAAGCCTAATGGTGAAGGGACCAGACAGCAGCAGAGGAGAGGGATGAGGGGCAGAGGAAGGGTGAGGGGCAGAGGAAGGGATGAGGGGCAGAGGAAGGGTGAGGGGCAGTTTTAAAGGGTGGAACTGCTAAAGGAGCATGGGGGAGCGGGCAATAAGGAAGGAGTTGGGTCGGAGGTGAGGTACACGGTCCAGCGGACGGACCTTCAGGGTCTCAGAGGGTCAGTGAGGACCAATAACTGCTCAAGATAGCCAGTGGACTATCATACCAAACGCTAAGAGCCGTGGAATGAGTGGCTGCAGGCCGTCTCCATATGCAGTCTCATAGGAACAGGCGCCGGAGGGCTTAAAGCCCAAGACACATGGTGCTGGTACCGGAACTTCAGGAGACCATGGTCGACAGACGAGAGCATCCTCGTTTGTGGGAAATGGCCAGAGGGAAGGGGGGAATCTTACTGATCCCAGGGGTCCCAGTGGTGGGCGGTACAGCGTCCCAGTGTTTCTCAGACTGCCAGCAGGCAGGAGAAAGCGGTGGGAGAGCCTGCCGATGTCACTGGCGCCAATGTAATGATAGGGGGCACGGGAGGCCCTGGCTGGCCGGGCCAAGGTGTCCCGTGGGTGATGGAAACATGCTGGGCAGATGTGGCGGTGGGCTGCGGCACATGAACAGCCACCCATACCCCAGACGCTGCATCCACGTGGAAATGGGTTTATTATGATAGAAGATAGAGAGAAAGATAAGGAAAGAGAGAGAGAGGGGCGGGGGGAGGACAAGGGTGCACGCCTCATGGCGGGGAAGGGCAAAAGAGGGAGCGAAAGGGGGAGGAGTTTTCTTCTTAAAGGGAACGCAGGATGGTGTCAGGAGGACCCAGGTGGGTCCCCAAGGGGCGGGTCAGAATGCTAACAGGTATCCCTCAAGACTGTACCTGATCTGGTTCAGGTGCAGGCTCTTGGAGTGGAGCCGGTCAGGGGTCTTGAGGAGGGCCAGAGCCTTGAAGTTGCACCCTGGTTTGCGGTCTCTAGGCGTGAGACCACGGTGGAAAGGGTATTCAGATGAAAGGGCTGTACTGGTGGGAGGCACTGGACTTCTGGGGAGATTTGGAGGGAACAGAGGCAGGACAAGATGCTGGAGGTCTGAAACAAAAATAGGAGCCAGGTGGCGGTGGTGGCGTATTCCTTTAATCTCAGATCTCGGGAGGCAGAGCCAGATTCAGGTGGATCTCTTGAGTTCGAGGCCAGCCTGGTCTCCAGAGTGAGATCCAGGACAGCCAGGGCTACACAGAGAAACCCTGTCTCAGAAAAAAAAAAAAAAAAAAAAGGAAAAATCTAAATACATGTAAGACTCCTCCTTTCTGTGGGGAACACTGACTACCTCTAAATTGGTTTGTTTTGCATACTTGAGTTAAAAGTCTGCATACAGACATGTGTAAAAGTCACAAATGGGCATCCTGGTTTAGTTAGAATTTTAAAGGATTCACAAAGGATGTTATAGGGGCTGGAGAGCTGGTTCTTTCATCCTTGGTGAGGACTAGGGTTCAGTTCCCAGCACCCACCTGGAGGCTCACAACCATCCATAACTCCAGATCCTGAGGGCTTTGGCTCCTTCTTCTGGCTTCTGTAGGAACTAGGTGTTCACACACAAACACTCAGGCAGAGCACTCACAGAAAATAAAAATAAGTACACCCACAAATAAATTCTTAAGTTGGTAATTCACAGTAGTTAGTAAGATTTCTAAAGACTACACATGAGTTCAAAGCCGATGCTAAAAAAAAAAAAAAAAAAGAAATCTATTTTGAAAATACTTTAGCCGGGCGTTGGTGGCGCACACCTTTAATCCCAGCACTCGGGAGGCAGAGCCAGGCGGATCTCTGTGAGATCGAGGCCAGCCTGGGCTACCAAGTGAGCTCCAGGAAAGGCGCAAAGCTACACAGAGAAACCCTGTCTCGAAAAACCAAAAAAAAAAAAAAAAAAAGAAAATACTTTAGAGGCTATAACAAAGCAAAGATAAACTCTGGGAATAACTTTCTAGTAAATTCTATATCGAAGGGAAATATCATGTCCTGGGTTAAAGACAGAGGGGGAAAGAGAGAGCTTCCGGCTATTCTGAAGTTTCCCCATTTGTAGCCAGGCATGGTGGCACACACCTTAATCCCAGGGAGGCAGGTTGATCTCTGTGAGTTCAAGGCTAGCCTGGTCTACATAGCAAATTCTAGGACAGCCAGAGATACATAAAGAGACCAATATATATATATTTATATTTATATGTATTTTCTCATTTGGAAAGGCCATGTTCCCTCAGGAAGCCACACTCACACGGACCGTGGTCATCTCTCTTTTATCCACTTTCACACTTAAGCCTGTGTGACACTGTCTTTATTTTACAAGCCGGTCCTAAATAAAATTCCTTTCAGGACTGAAGCCTTGAATCCCAGTTTGTCCTGAATCAGGTCCCTAAAGCTTAAGGGGAATTCTTCCAGCTGCTGAGGGTGACAAGGTGGAATGGGGTCTCTGTCTGCTCAGGGCTAACATTCCTGAGTGGTCCTGCTGCAACCCATCTAGTTGATAGGTTTCCCCACCCTGCTCCTGTCTGCCCCCCCTACTCCCCCCCACCTCCCCACCCGCTCAGCTTGGCTTGAGTGTTAACCTTGGGTTCCTTTGCTTTTGTTTCTCTGCCCAGAGATCCAGTGAATGCCAATAGCACCAAAACTAGGAATCCCCTACCAGTGGTTCTCAACCTTCCTAATGCTGAGACCCTCTAACACAGTTCCTCATGTGGTGGTGACCCCAAAACCATAAAATCATTTTTTTTTTTTTTTTTTTTTTTTTTTTTTTTTTTTCGAGACAGGGTTTCTTTGTGTAGCTTTGTGCCTTTCCTGGATCTCGCTCTGTAGACCAGGCTGGCCTCGAACTCACAGAGATCCACCGGCCTCTGCCTCCCGAGTGCTGGGATTAAAGGCGTGCGCCACCACCGCCCGGCCATAAAATCATTTTTGTTGAGACTTCATCACTATAATTTGACTGCTGTTGTGAATCATAATGCAAAATATCTGTGGTTTCTGATGGGCTTGGGGGTCGAGACCCATGCGTTGAGAACCACTGCCATAGAATCATTTATACTTGGTTCCTGGGTCCCAATAATAAATAGTACATGGCTTTGAGGCAGACATCATCCTAAGACCCGATACCCCACACATCTGAAGCCAGTCTCTTGCCTCTAGAGAGCAGCCCAGGACCCAACGGAAAGACTTCCCGGATGCAGCCTGTTCAGAACAGCTGCCTTCTGGCGTGCTTCCTCCAAACCCGGAGCCTCATGACCATTGTCTGTGCCTCTGCTTATCTGCCATCTTCGACACTGTATAGAGCCAGCAGCTTCCGGGGTGAGAGAGGGGGTGGAGGGTTGGAGTGGGGCCAGGGGAAACACTCTGGCAACCTCTTCCCCTGTGATGGTCCCAAGAAGAACTGGGTTCTACAACGTATAAACCTAGGCATTACAAGGATTTTTGTTGTTTTTTCAAGACAGGGTTTCTCTGTGTAACAGCCCTGGCTGTCCTGGAACTCGCTGTGTAGACCAGGATGGTCTCGGACTCACAGAGATCCACCTGTCTCTGCCTCCCGAGTGCTGGGACTAAAGGTGTGTGCCACTACCACCTCCTGGCGAGGATTTTTTTTTTTTTTAAATCACTACTGCCTCTTTAAAACAAACAAATGAACAGGCAGGTTTTCACAAGGTCCACAGCTTAGCCAAATCTATGTACAATACAGTTCTAGGGGCTGAAGAGATGGCTCAGGGCCATCTGTAAACCCAATTCCAGGGGATCTGATGTCTCTTCTGGCCTCCAGACTCACCAGGCACACCAGTGGTGCCCAGATATACATCAGGCAAAGCACCTGTACACGTAGAATTTAAAAAGAAGATACAACTCTAAATATTTTTTTATTTAAAAAATATTTGTATTATGTGTCTGAATGTACACATTACGTGAGTGTCTGGGAGTTACAGATGGTCATGAGTCACCCTTGTGGGTGCTAGGAATTGAACCTGGGTCCTCTACGAGAGCAGCAAATATTCTTAACCACTGAGCCGTTTCTCCAGACCCCTATTTATTTATTTATTTATTTATTTATTTATTTATTTTTATTTTTATTTTTATTTTTATTTTTATTTTTATTTTGTTTTTGTGGCAGAGTTTCTCTGTAGTCCTGTCTATCCTAGAATTAGCTCTGTAGACCAGGCTGGCCTTGAATGCAGAGATCCACCTGCCTCTGCCTCCTGAGTGCTGGAATTAAAGGCATGGGCCACCACCACCTGAGTATGGGTTGGTTGTTTTTTGATTTTTGTTTGAGAGAAAGAGAAAAAAAAAGAATATGAAGTTGGATGGGTAGGGAAGGAGGATCTGGAAGGAGTTGGGGAAGGGATTTGGTCAAATACATTGTATGAAAAGAGATTTTTTTTTTTAATGAAAAAAATCCTTTGAATGAGAGAGAGGGCAGCATATTGTCAGCTACTGCTCCAAACTGGAAATGGAGGAAAATCATGTTAGAAAATAAAAAAAGGTCCAAAATTGATATCCTGAGATAAAATTAATGTGTGATTCTGTTTACAACACTAAGGTTTTCTTTTCTATTTTTTCCTTTTTTCTTTCTTTCTTTTTCTGTTTCTTTCTATCTTTTTGTTTTGTTTTGTTTTGTTTTGTTTTGTTTTTCAAGACAGGGTTTTGCTGTGTAGTTTTGGTGCCTGTCCTAAATCTTGCTCTGTAGACCACGCTGGCCTCGAACTCACAGAGATCTGCCTGCTTCTGCCTCCTGAGTGCTGGGATTAAAGGTGTGTGCCACCACTGCCTGACTGGCTATTTTTTCTTTTTTGTTTTTTTGACAAGGTTTCACTATGTAGACCAGGCTGGCCTATATCTCAGAGATCCACCTACCTCTGCTTGCAGAGTGCTGGGACTAGAGACACTAGGCCTCATGTGTTTTTTACATAGTCTGTTTCCTCTCAGACTAGCCCTGCATCCCTGTCTTGGTTAGGGTTACTATTGCTATGATGAAACACCATGACAATGCTGGATGATAGTGGTGCCTTTAATCCCAGGGCTCGGGAGGCAGAGGCAGGCAGATCTTTGAGTTTGAGGACAGCTTTGGTCTACAGAGTTCCAGGACAGTAAGGGCTTCACAGAGAAACCCTGTCCCTAAAAAAAACCAAAAACAAACAAACAGAAAAAGAAGCCAGGCAGTGGTAGTGCACACCTTTAATCCCAACACTTGGGAGGTACAAGCAGAAGGGGTCTTGACCCACAGGTTGAGAACCACTGCTCTAGGAAGGAGGGGAAGGTTGGGAAGGCAAACTTCTCTCCTTTTTCCTCTGTCAGGAGACTTCAGCCTCTCTCTGCTTGTCTGGTGACTGCTGCCAGAAATCAACGTGATCTTGAATTTTAATCAGGCTTTATGCAATTTCATCACATTATCCTCACGTGTGTCTGCACACACACCCCAAAATATGAAAAAATAAATAAATAAATCCAACTAGGTACTAAATACTTTCATTAGTCACAAAACTGAAAATTTTGTGATAAAACCTAAGGATGCCCAGGGTCCTGAGTATTCATTCATTCACTCACTCACTCACTCACTCACTCACTCACTCACTCACTCACTCACAGGTACCCAAGTCTTCCCCAGGTACATGGCCTTCCCAAACAGCAGCCTAGCCCCTTG